TATTCGGTCACTGAAGGTGCATGGTAAAGGTTGGTCTTTAAGGAGATCACACAACAAGATAAAGAAGTACATTTGCAAGGCTCTCGGCAACATGGTCTACGTTAAAATAAAAGGGGTTTACATTTCGTTCAGGGGCTTGTACGATCCCCGGGCGCGACCCTTTGATTTGCCAACGCGAACATAATTGGAATAGGAGGGAATTTCAGGAACAGGAATGTTGGTAGGTGCTTGTGAAGCGTCTGCGGTTGGTGCATTAGGTTCAGCCGCAGGGGTCGGTGGCTGAGGGACGGGTGGTACGGAGCCTTCGGCAAAAGCTACAAAAATAGTATCGTTGAAAGGGGAACTTACAGTCTAAATTTACAATAAAGTGGGGTGCGGCCTCCGAATCTAAAAACAGAAAGAAATAAAAGACAAATGAATATCGGAAGGTGAACTGCTCGATGGCATCGCCCAAACCTTCTGGGACTACAGCGGCCAGGGAACTTGCCCACTTAAATGAATACTGTCAATACTACTAAGCTGTAAACAGTAGAAATATTTAGCAAATAAATAATGGATAACTGCTAGCCAAACATGCGTTTACTTAAAGATATAACTTAATCACTGGCAGTTCTAATAATTTCAAAGCTTGCCTGTGTCGATATTGAAGCTTTCCAAAAACGAGGTGGAACCGCACTGATCGGCGAAATCAGGAACCTCTTCCTCCATCGCTGTCTCGAGCTAGAAGTGAAATTCAAAGACTCTGGTGGTCCTCGCGGATTTTTATCCGATTTAACTGATGATCTAGAAGGCAAAATATATGCCACTAAGGCGTACCAGTCTAATCAGGCAGTTGTGAAACCGAAACTAAAAATCGTTAAGTCTGATTTTTGATTAGTTTAAACAATATTTTGTTTGTTCTGCATTTTGTGTGTAATTGTTTGTGAACGACCCTCAGCTTGGTACTGCCTTTTAAATTATAAATTTTAACACATTAATTGGCCTTTTTTATCCAGGCATTACTATTTTATAAATTGGAATTGATCTATCGAATTATTTCCAGAGTAGCTTTCACTCGAAAATGGCAAAAAGTAAATGCTTTCAAAAAAGGAGTAAGTCCACAATCTCCGTTATCATCTGAGTTCCTTGTGTTGGAAGTTTTTGAATATTAAATTAATGATGAATGTTGAGTAATGTTCCGTGGAATAGGCTTAACAGAGTATCCGCCAGTGCTGCTTGGCGTAATTATTTGAACCGTCGAGAGGAGAGACCGAACGAACAAAGTCTCAGATATAGGGAGAATTGTAAGTATTGGCAACTTAAAGTAAAACTCACGGAAAAGCGAGTGTACACTTCTATACAACGAGAACTTTTGTTAAGAGCAAAAGGAAGGCGCCTGTGTAATTTAACCGAACAAATGAAAGTAGGAGTCACCATTCAGAACCTATGAGGCCACCTTCTGGTAAGCCAGGACGGGCGCCAAGAAATTGGACGATCTTTTAGCCAATAAA